GGGCACCCAGCAATCACGCTTCGTTGAGTTCACACTGCTCCATTCACCAAAGCGTCAACGACGCCAAAGTTTGATGTAAGCTGGAGTGGTTTCCCCAGCACGAGTACAATACTGTTAGGCAGATTCACAAGGTTGGTGTTAGACATGTGCGCAATGCGCTTTATCAACTTCACGCTTGTAAAGACGAAGAGTTCTTTCAGGTTGTGGACCTCAACAGATGTCAGGACACAGGGCCGGCGAAGCGCCAAAGGAGGTGCGTTCACTCATTCGATGAGGTGGTGGCGCCCTCTTTTGTATGACCCTGAAGTAAGTCACATGTTTCCCGCATGTCTTCAGTGTTTTTTTTTAGTTAAATATATGGAACAGTTATTGACTCTTTCTCTTAAATATATTTTTAACACGACAGTGTTTTGTGCCGGGGTCCACCAAAACTTCAGCGACATATTTGAGTCACGGAAATGACTATGAAAAAATACGCACCATCAGAAAGCAATTAAAACAATACCCGTCAATGGGAATCGAACCAACGACCTTTCGGTCCGTGACATGAGAGGCCGCGTACTCTATCCACAACGTCGTGGCCAGATACTTCGGAAGCTCTATAGACAAGGCTTTTTTATCTAACACTGGCCTTTGACAGTACTCTCAGTAAAGTGAAGTAATGCATCATTACCATGACATGCACGTTTTATTTCAACGCATCGTTTGACACGTCGGTCCACTTCGGCTGTTTCCTATAGGAGAAAAGTAAATTTGTCGATGCATAAAAACACCGCCAGGGGTCGACATTACCCTTAATGTCAGCCTCGCTTATGACATTCATCTATACCAAAAATATGTCTGCTTCGACTGGATGGAACTCCATGTTTTTCCCTAACGCTTGCCCAACGAACAATCGCGTCCGGACAACTGTGCAGACATGGCGCATGTTGCGTTCCTTTGTAGTCGGGCAGTGGCGTTAAATACTTGTTGCAACAAAGATATTTTAGCCGACGTTTGGCGTTCTTTCAGGGGTAATATCCTGGCTGTCACATCATTCCTCTGAATCCACTCTCATAGTTAACTACTACAGCCACCACAATCGTCAGTGACTACAAGGGCTTGCTTATTCATTGATCTTGAGCGTTAGTCGACAAAATGAAGCTTTAAAATTAAGCTTGTATATGGGTGTGTTTACGTTAAATAGTGGCATAAATGACAAACGTCAAGAAACATTGTACAAGCTCTCTTATATCAATGAATAGTCGAGTACATGTATGTAGAGTAGGTACAAATAGTTTAACACTCACAAAATATATAAAATCGCACACGTACGTCGAAACAATCTGCAACAATCTCTTCAAAGAATGTTGTGTCTTTTACGCGTATTAACTTGACAAAATAATACTGACTTAGAGTGCATAAGACATTCGTCAGACTCGAATACGCGTTGGTTGTTCAGTCGCCTCACCACAAACATGACATAACCATGTTAGAATCTGTTATTTAAAAAAGGTATGGTGCTTATATTTTGTCCCCATAACCAGCGTTTCCTGACTGCTTCGCATGCGCATGTTTTATTGCTGCAGCCCCTCTCGAACAACGGCCCACTTGCAATCATGTCATCTTCCTGCAAACTGCGGTTCGAATGTTCTAGCATTCATATCCTTCGTTGCATCTTCTGCACGCCATACCCGCTGATTTTATCATCTAAATATTTAGTCCGTTAGATCAATTTACAATTGCGTTCATATTCTTTTGCTTCTTTTATGATTTTCTGCAGAAGATGCATTTTTGGAATGAGCATGATGGGTATCTGCGCTGACTCCGTGCTGAGTAATTGGAAAAAAGGATTGCTTAAAAATGCATGATGTTAATTTGTATTTTTTCAATGTGCTGACCATTTGTATTTACACCTGCTATTTCTCGGAAGCTGAGAGAGCAGTATTTGTCAATAAATAACATTAAAGCATGCTGCTAACACGTTAACTGCTTCGCGGTTTCGGGGAAGTAGATTTTAAATGTGAAGCAATCTTTGTGGACTTCAGACACTTTGAGCGTGTCTGTCTATCTGCCTATCTAGCCGCCTAAGACTTTTAGCTCCCCAGGTCGTTTCAATAATGGAATTGTTGCCGAAATTGCTATGACATAACATGGCTGTATGACGAGCATAATTGACTTGTCATAACTTGAAAATCATGAGTTGTATCATGAATGTCATGATTTACATTTCATTGTCTTGCTGCCCTTGCGTTGGTTTCATTCACATGACATATTGCGAAACTGGTATGGTATGACAGGACTGCACGGCAAATATATGTGGCAGGCCCTAACGTGTAATTCACGACATGCATGCCCTGTAAGCCAAGACTACACGCAATGCTCATGGTGAGCTTCACATACACCAAATTTGCTATTACAGAACATGAACGGACGACGAAGGTAAATGACACGTCCAAAAAAGATAATCGTGACCTGCGTGTCCTGTAAAACATGACTACATGCTATGCTCATTGTGCGCTCGTGGTCGTTTCACTAATTTCTCCTATACCAAAATTGGTGTCACATGACGTGAATGGATGACGAAGGTATGTGACTGGTAGAAACCTGAGAATGATCACATGTGTGTCATGTAACACATGACTATATACTACGTTCATAGCGTGCTCGCAGCTATTTCGCTAGCTCCAAATATACCAAATTTTGTATTACGGTAAATGACATGTCCAGATATGATAATCATGATATGCGTGTCATGTAAAATATTACTACATGCTACGCTTATAGCACGCTCGCAGCCGTTTTGCAATCTCCACATATACGAAATTTTGTATCACGTGACGTGAATAGACGAAGCAGCTAAATGACACGTCCAAACATGATAATCATGCCATGGAAGTCATGTACGTAATAATTCACGTGCGCTTCTTTGCTTGGTGCCGATTTAAAAGTGGCATATCAACCTTCCTCATTCGTGCTTCGCAGATCATTGATTCCCACTGTACGTGAGATCTGCCTGTTTTTTTTTAATTCAAGGCACAAGTTTCTACCTTGAGCAGCTTTTGAATCTTGATCCCCTTCCGCCCCTCCTCCTGAACCCCGCGCTGGTGACGCGCCATCCTTGAAGGTGGAAACACTGGCGTGCCGCTACCGGCGATTTCAGTACCATGGCACAGGCCTCCTTGTGAGTCACTCGGTTGTATTCTTTCCTGTATGGGCAATGGCTTCGCAGGTGCGTCAGACATATGAGTGAGTAACGTTTCTGTTGTGGTGTTGATTCGGGGGCCAGACGCTGAATTCACCGGCGAGCGTAGCCGTGGTTTCAGAAAAAAAGTTCTTTGGTAGCTGTTCTTGGTGAGTTACTTGGATAGCGTTTGCTATTCATTAATATAAATGCGCATGCCCTGCTTGTGGCTTTGTACTCTGGCGTTATTGGCCGACTGAACGAATTTCAAAAGGGGGAGCAGACCCCCCTGCCCCCCCCCCCCTTGCCTACCTGCCTGCCTGATTCCATAACAAACCTTGTTCGTCCATTTGTACTTGGTTTTTTATTGCTAGCCTTGCTTCGAACTGTTTCGAGCAGTTAATTATAAGCGCAATTACGCCAATTGAGACCCATGACTGGATCACATGCAGAGCTTCAAGGCTCTGCACGAACAAAAACACTTTGGGCAATGTTTTAACTTTTATGGTAGTGGAATCATAGAACACCGTGAGACTAGACGTAAAAGCGACAGGGAGAGTTTTACTCATTACAAAAATTTAGAAGGGCAAAATTTAATGTCAAACTTGCGTTTCCGTGGTTACGAGATATGCTTCAAGGGGCGATTTCCAGATGACAGATGCTATGCCGGCCCCATTCGAAATCAACGTTTGAAGAGAGGCGGCAACATACAAAAAACTCTAGGCTTGCATGTCACTTTTACAACTCCAAAAACAAGCATTTTGTTTGTATGTTTGTGACGCTTTATTCGCAGCAGCACCAATTTATGACGGCAAATCACATACTCATGCACTTTCACGCTCGAAAACACTTGAATTTCAACATTGTAGCTTCGACAATACTGCTTTTAATTAAAGGCTAGCTTATTGCAATAATGCATCTCAGATGTCCCAGATTTGGTTTGCACAGGCTTGCTAGTGGTTCTTTTTGTTAAAGTTCACACTTACAGTTTTTCGGATTTACTTTCACCGTGTTAAAATCAAGGTATACAGGGTCAAATTGATACCCCGCTATGCAGATTAATTATTCTAGTTCACAAGTCGTTCGATTTAATAAATAGTAAAATGTGCTTACTTGTTTCTTGAATTTGATGAGTGCCTATTTCATCTTTTCTGCTATTGTTGAAACTGTCCGACTTTGTCATGCTCAAAATGTAACAGTATAAAAAAGTGCAAAACTGAAAACAGCCAAAAAATTGAAAAACTAGCTTTTACAATTCATCAGTGAACCAGTGTAGAAGTGGTTATGCAGTGAAGAGTTATTTCTTTATGCATTTTTTCAGCGTTATTATACGTATAGCTGTTACGTTTCTTCTAAGACTTTCATAAGATGTGCTCTGTACCCCTCTGCTAAGAACCAGTCGGCCATTAGAAAGAAACTAATTATAAAGTGCTTTAGAAGTTACTTCGTGCGAGTCAGGCTCCATCATTAATTATTTCACACTGTCTCCAAAAAACGGCAGCCTTGAGGCCGGTATCTAGAACATATTAATTCCGAGTTGCCTCAGGTTTTTCCTCTTTGTTGTCATTCACCGTTTTGAAGGTAGTCGATTCCCGGGTTGCACTGAGAAGAAAGGTGTAGCCGCAACTGATTGAAATATCCGATTCTCGGAGCTTCTGTTTGTTTCATAGAGTGAAACACACTACGAATCCGCCTTCTTTCTTTCTACCTACGCAGCCTGATCTAAATTCTGGCTTACGTGTCCTCCGACCCGCTTTACGCGGCCCGTAGGCGAGGGAACCATTGCTCCGCAGAGGTTACGAAACGCTGCGTTGTGTGCACGCGGAGCTAGAAATATGCAGGTATGATGACTCTTGCAGCACAGCGGCGCACGAAACAGGCAGAAACCGTTCCACGAATTGAAAGCGGAACACGATGCTAATCGTACTACAACCACTAAAGTGTGGTGCGGACAGGTTGTATATTTAAGGATCGCATAGCAACCAGCTCAGACAGGCACCAGCCACGTGCGGAGCTATCATGAACACCATGGTGAGTGTTAAATTCTATGTTCAAAAAAGTTCTAGTGAGCACTATTCTTTAGTATGCACCCCTACTCAGTGCGTACAGGTAATTTACACCAGTGTGTTTTACGACAGGCTGTAAAACAACTTAAATACAAAGGTAGTAAAAATGTTGTGTTGCGAGATGACTTTAGCTTAAAGAGAACTTCTAAAACATTCTCAAGCATCACTAGAAATAAAATGATATTATATATGTCGGGTGTCCTCTCTTACAAAGGACCAAGGACTCCTATACCTCCGGAACCCATGAATATTTAGCTGATACAGATTTAACCAGAACTCAAGTTATGCTTCTGCATGATTCTATAAAACATTTGTTTTAAAAGAACATGTATTTTATTTAGTCATTAAACCGAAAAAAGTAGCTCCTGTATTCTCTTTGCAGTTGATTGTATTTGCGCTACTGGCCTCTTCAGTACTGGCGGAAGAAAGCAAGAACTTAACGGAGAAAAATGAGACAGCAGTCGAAGGACGAGGACTGTTTTTGGGCAGCCACAATGTCTTTCCTGGCTGTCCACCCTGCCCGTGCGCGTACGGCGTTGGTATCGGAGGCTTGGGTGGTTTTGGTGCCTCTGGTGTTGGTCTCAATTATGGGGCTGGACCAGCATTCGGCCTTAACCCAGGTGTTGGCCTAGGCCCTGGTGTCGGTGCTGGCCACGCAGTCGGAGGAGCAAGTATCGGTTCCGGTCTCGGAGGTGGCCCGATAGCCAAAGGATCAGGGCTCAGTCAAGGTATAGGGGTCAGCCATGGAGCTATAGGAGCAAATCCTGGTTCCGAAGGAGGACTTCAGCATGGAACAGCCAGCATTAACCCTGCAGTGGGCGGTGCACTAGCCGGCGCGGGAGGCATTGGTGTTGGTGCCAGTGGCAGTTCTAGCTCCGTCTTCTCTCCCGGAGCTGGTGTTAGCCCTGAAATCGTTCATGGTGGAGGACCTATATTGGAACCCATGGGAGGGGCTGGCCTTGGTGTCAGCCCGACCATCGCTGGTTTAGGTATTGGAGCTGGCATTGGAGCTGGACATCATTCAGCGGCTTCCGGCCACTCGGGTTTTCAGACGGGCTCCGGATTCGCCAACAAGGCCGGTGGACACAAGGCCGGTCAGGGAAGCTTTGCCTACAACGTGGGAGGGTCAGACAGCAGCTCGTACGGGCACAGCAGTTCTTATGGTGACTCGAAGAGCTTTGGCCTAAGTTCCAGTGAAGGTTCAATCCATGCCCAAGGTCAGGGCAGCCATGGAACCACCTTCAACAAGCAGGCTGCTGGTTCGGAAGCGTCTAGTCATAGCTCTGGGGTGAAGACTAAGGTGGTTGTTTGAAAAATTTGGGCTCAAGTTTGTAGAGCTGACTGTGCTTGCCAAAGAAACGTTGTATGTGAAAGCCAAATAAAACTTTTATCTTATGTATTTCTGTCAGTTTCTAGTCGATATATTGTGGCACGAAGGAAAAAAAACAATGGCATGCTATTTTATTGGCATGATCTATTTTGAGCTATAAACTGACGAGGGAAGCAGCTCGGTGAATATACGTAAGCGATTGAACTTCATGTAGGATGTTGTGACAGATAATTCATACATTCACGCTGTAATAAAGTTGACACAGCAAGATAGCTAACATTACTCGAAAGAGCAATGTTAGCGTATGTAGCTTCTTCAACTCTGAAATAAAATTGTCTAGGGCTTGACGCTCTAATTATTGACAAGTTTGGCAAAGCCGCAATAATTATATTCATTGAAGGTATCGGCTTTTCTCATTGAGAAACCTAATGCACCACCTAAATTGACCGGTTGTTATTAACTAACCTGTCAACTTGATAAGCAACTAATCGTTTGGTCAAGCGTCAGGTAAAAAATAAATGATTGATTAGTGTTTCTGACTAAAGTTTGAGTTTAAACAGCCTAGTTATCCGGAAGAAAAAGCAGCAAGAGAAAAAGAAAAGGCCGGGATGCTAACCAGTAAAAGTTCAATAAAGCCTGTATGAACAGGCTCATGGTTACTATTAAAAAAATGTTAGGCCATTTTAGTGTGATTTTATTAGCTCAATTAAAACATTTTTTAGTTTCAATAACGTTTTCCATCGCCCATCCTAAACTCTTGAACTTTTGCCAGTTCTTCCCAAAATTTGTGGTGGTACCTGCTTTTAAAAGCTCGAGGTTTTAAAAGCGGGTACCAGAACCAATTACCGAAAGCCTAATTCAAGTTTTTTAACAATAGCATAATCAAGAAAAATGATCATTTTTATTATGCCTTTGTTAACGGATCTTAATTAGGCTGTTCGGAACAATCCTTGATCATAGTAAGCAATGAGCAGATGCTATTTTTGATGTAGAAACATATAGATCTTCCGGTGACTTACCTTCCCTTGGAACAAGGTTTGTCGTTGTTGCGGTACTTAACATATTTGTTATATTCTTTAGAAGCTCGTACTTAAGCAGCTGCATAAGTCTCTAAGTTTTAAGAGCAGTGGTGATATCTATCACGTCTAATCAAGCAGTACCAGCAACGCATAGCACACATACCTCGTGATGACTAAGGCCAATATTTCCACGGGCATCACTCATGGGCTGAACTAAGAATCATTCTAAAAACTTCTTTAAGCACAGCTACACCCTCAAAAACATGAATCAAGATCATTTAGTACACTTGCACTTCTTGCCATGATTCGATTGATATGTGGGATTCAACGTCCCAAAATCACGCAATAATAGAGAGCTCCAGAAATTTCGACCACCTGGGGTTCTTAAGCGTGCACCCAAATTTGAGCACATGGCCCTACTGCATTTTTACCACGTTTGTAAATTGAGCCACCGTAGCCGGGGTTTGATCCCACAACTTGCGGGTCAGCAGCTATGTGCCATAGCCACTAGACCACAGCGGCAGCGCCACTTGCACTTCTAAATATTACAAAAAGTTACCTTCTTATAAATTTAGGATATAGCTATTGTTTCTTCAACCTAAAAAGAAGTATTCTCAGATTGTTGATCCGATGTAAGTGTTGGATTTTATTGTTGTTGTTACCACCACCACAGCTGGTGCTAAGACTGCTACATAAATATTCGGTATTATTGATACAACTACACGAAACACTAGTTTTTTTTCTTGAAAGGATCACTTGTCAAGGTTCATTATATGCACTATCATAATCTAGTGAGCCCACTTTTTATTTATATCGCAATATTGTGATCAAGTATATACCGTTGTGACGTTCACACTAATATAAGAGTATAGAATAGTAAAGTATACTCACAGCATCAGCGATTATATAGCCTGCTAGGCAATTTTTTAAGAAAGTTATATGAGTAAGTATTGTAAACCTTCGCGTTGAATGTCTGGTAATGTTTGGTAATGGTAACGGCTGCGCGTATAAAAAAAACTAAAATTTCTAGCTACAACATCCATGCACTTAAGAAAAGTTTAGAGTGGTAAGTACTAGTTTATGCTATCAGAGTTCACACCTATGAAAATGTTTGTACAAATCATTCCCTGGTGAGGTGAATGGAGTGGCTAGGATCGACATATGTGCAGCCGCGTATTTGCTTTTTTTTAAATCAGAAGACCAAGTATACGCGAATAGCCACACCAGACAATTCATTAAGCAAACAACAAAGTAGGTAGAATCATTATCACAAATATAGGTAGAATGAATAAACATAATTTTAATGTTTGCTCTGGTGTTGAAATCAAAATGTAACTTGTAACTTGTAATTGCTGAAACTATAGTTTTTTCGACACGTTTGCCGATGAACAAGCTTGCACACGAACTTCCCAGTTGAAGGCACTGAAGAGCATTGACATTTTCCGGGAAGGATTTCAAAACAACAATGATTCAATACATGCACGCTACCCAAACTGGAAACTCCGAAAGCAACCGGATGCACGTGAATGAGCCATGTCGTGTGGAAAGAAAAAAAGCATGTCCGTGAAATAACCGGAGCCGCCCCGGAATGAACAAATACGCTCAAAATTCTCCTTCAGTTGCGCAACCACGAGTGAGGACTCTAGCCATCTGTGCAGGCACCCTATCTGTCCTTCCTATACACATCCGCGGCCGGCGCAGGCAGCCAAGCGAAGCTGATTGCCCAGCCAAACCAGTAGCAAGGACAATCGCCTCGCGCACCATCCGTCGGGGAAAGCCCCACGACGAACGCCTTGGCCATGTGACCTGGCCACGCTGATGGTCGGCGAAAAAAATGGATGAAAGGACGCCGTGTCTGTGGAGCCATAAATTGCAACGAATGACTCATTTCGTGATTCGTTTTTCATCCTTTTCACTCTACGTGAGTGACTCGGGCGCAACAAGGGGAATTTTATCCCTCCGACCGGCCACTCGGCGCAATGCAGCATTGCTGTATAACATGGCGAAACGGAGCAGCTTACGTACTTTTCACTACAATCCCTGCATGGTAACGGACGTATAACAAGCCGAAATGGGACAAATAAAAAGTAAAACACGATCCTTGCGACATGCAGGTGTTGTAGAGTTTTGCGAATTTTTCGTCTTAAAGAAACTTTACTTCATTTTTTGTGTGCATGATAGCTTTTAGAGCAGCAGCTAGAAGGATGCTGTTAACTTTTCCTCGAAAGTAAAAAAAAAAAACGTGTGGCGTGAACGTGGAAAGCCATATGAGAAAATTCCGTAGAACAGATGCAACGGCCTCCTCTAATATCCTTAAAATCTGGTAAAAAGGGCAAAGCTCCCCATGCCCCCATCAATATACCTAGGGCAGCTTTATCAAATGATCCTAATAGATTGTTTTTATTTTCACACATCGTCCGTGGTTTTATATAGCTGTTTTCCGTCCACGTGATTGACAAGGGAAGAACGTTGTTGAGTGCATACAACTATTGGCATTATGCCGGCCCTGGTTCTTTCTGCGTGACATGTACGCTACGAAATTGTAAAATTGTAATCAATAAGTAGGCATTAGACAAGAGGTCAGCGGTGAGCTAGCATAATTAATCATCTCATTTTAAAGAAAAGTACAGCTCACTGGTGCCTCATGCTGATTGATGAGGTAAACATGTATATTTTTAAAGTACCTTCCCTTCTTTATCCGCGTGAACGCGTACTCCTGCTTGAACTTTTTAAGATCATTTTCCAGGAAAAAAGCGTACAGTATTTGCAATTTATTCTCTCAAGCAAGGGAGGTGCTGTTTTTAAATTCGATTTGTTGAAAGAAAAGAATACACCGGCATGTTTTTTGTGCTCAATTCTTGACAGCTATTCAATTTTCCTTACTATAACGCACAGTATAATTTGCGCAGTCCTAATGAAAGTGCAATAGCAGAAGCGTCCCATACGTACTATTCAAACAATGGTAGTTGGAAAGCCAATTCTGGCGGTACCGTGAGTGAAAGAACTTTTTTACAAACCTAGCCGCCATGTTAACTTGGTGCTATAGCACAATGTTAACACACATGTTATATCTGTCACTGTGCTCTTCAAATTTACAGCTTAGGTTCTCTTTCAATTGCGGTCTCATCACGGCGATGCAAGTGTAAGTCCGATGAGTTTAAAAAACCGCGAATGGTTAAAATTTTTCTACATTTCCCCAGTGTACGGCGGGACTAATAACATATTGATTACAGCATCTTTTTTTTCTGTCTACACATCAACCAGCGGTATTGAATCGCAAGAGCAGCTGAGGCAATTTTGTCAGCATTTGCTTCCTTCTACTTTCGAATTCACCTTATCTGTAGACTTGCGATACACATTCACTTACATTTCTTTGTACTCCTACCAGCACAATAGAATTTCACGACTAGAATGCGCAGCCGTGTTATGACTGTAACGCCGGTATTCTCAGGCAAATGTGCTGCGTGTTGAATAATGAAAACTTGTATATATTTCTTGAGTTTTACATTCAAAACTCTGCACATGTTTTAGCGACGTACTGTATGTGAGGGACGCTAGTCTTCTCTCTGTAGTTTTTTGATTAATAGAATCACCTAAACTTATTAGTACGCAAGCTCTACTGCATTTCACCCCCATCAAAATGCGGCTGCCAAGCCCGAGGTCGAACCCGGGATGTCGGGCTCATAGCCACCTCGTCACACGCACCAAGGTGAGAGCAGGAGTGTTTTTACTTCTTGTCACGGTTTTGGCTTACCTATATATCTACGACGTAATAATCTTTCTTACACGCGAGTTAATGCATTGATTAACGAGAAGAGATTCATGAGCGTTAACAAGCCAAACGTTATAGGGGCGAAATTCTTGCTGAATGAATGGCCCCAATTGTGCCGCTCGAGTATTCACGAAGAAGTTAGCAATGGCAGTGTCCAAAAAGTGAGTAATCACATGTATAGGCACCAAAGTAAGCAGTCGTTCACTGTGTCGGCTGACACACGTCTCAACACATGCCTGCCGGGTCACTTCTCCGAGTGAAAACAGGGTGTATGATTC